CAAATGTTTACTATTTCATTTAGTTTCTTTTCATCTAAAATATTAAAAACGTCGTATGAAAATTACGGAGAATAAACAGATAACTTAAATATATTTTCTAATTTTGTGGAGTTGTTCTTTATGTCTAATAAGGAAATTAAAGCATAGAAGTTGAGGATTCAAGGCTTGTAATGACATTAAATCTAAAGGAGCTCAAATAAAAGCCTTCAAAATTCCAAGAATTAAACTTTTAAATAAATATTTTTTTCTTTTCTCATATGGATTATACCCAGTATCGAAACGTGTGAAGTGGTACTTGAGTTGCTATGCGCAAAAACACGACAAACATAAGTACCAGGTAGTGAAAATGCACGAAGAAGTCATATTTCACGTAATCTTAAGCTTAAGAGAAAATAACATATTCAACCAAAAATAAAACAGAATGTCTTGCCTTTCTCTCGATATTGCCGTTTGCAAAAAAGCCCCGGTCGCTGCTGGTCCCGTGAAAGATTCGTGAAGACACGCTGTCGCATCGACATTTAATTTAAAGGCCGGCACTTGGGGGTAACATCAGTTCTTAGCAGACCTACGGGTTTTCGCAAAGTTCCTCGTGTATAAGTGCAAAAGAAATAGGAAAACAATAGTTCTAGGCTAAGTAGTAGCAGTGAGTTGTCTTATCTTGCGGGCAAACTGGCAGGCTAACGTATGTTTGCTTGTGGTGAGGTGCAACGTTACGTAATAACACCCATTTTTTTTTTGGCCCGATTTTCACTGACTCTACCAGAGCCCATGAAACTGTATATAATTTGTAGGAGGGTATGTTAAATGATATCATGCACTGATTTAAATAGACAGTAAAAATAAACGAAACGGAACCTTTTTTTAGTACCAGGAAAAAGAAAAAGATTAAACTAGAGCTTAAACTATGAAATTCATTTAATATGGTAATCAGTTAACTGAATTCCAGTCATTTCTTTGAAGTTTCCGCTCGAATGTTATTTTAGACAAATACACCATTTCCAATTAGGGAGAGATAAATAAAAGATTCTGCAATCATCAAAATTGAGAAAACGAATTAAATAAAGGCTACTTTTTGGATCAATAACTGATACGACATTTTGATAAAATAAATTTTCAAGTGTTTTTTTTTTGTTGTTGTTGTCAATTACTATTTTGCATCTTTTTGGGTCTTCTTGTTTTGTATCGAAGTTGTTTGCAAAAATTGAGAAATGAGTTAACCCAACCGCTGTCATAATCTTCATTTATTTGTGGTTTTTAGATGCTAATCCCAACGGAAGAGCAACAGAGTACGAGATATCTGAAAAAACAAGCGACAGAACTTGGATATCGACGATAACTTTCACAGTTCTTTTTCTATATTTATACCTGAGTAATCTTAATTCAATTACTCCAAAGAGAAGACTCAAAAGGGTGCGTGTTTGGGAATCTAAAGGTTTACTGGTCGCGGTTTTTAAGAGTCTTCGATAATTGCCATGAATTATCCTAAGACGGCCTTTTTTCGTTGTCAGCCCCGCACTCTGTCTGGCTGAAGCACGGGTTAACCCCTTGTGGGCGGCTTTTTCTCTTTCAAGAGCGAGCCAAATCGTCCCCCATTGTCCACGACGGTCAGATAAACACATTGTGTTAAAATTACCATAAACAAAAACCAACGGAGATCCGTATAAGTGGTCTATTGTGGATTAGGAATTATAATTTACCGCCTAAGAGAAGAAGCCGCCATTATTTAGGAAAAGAGAATCTGCGTTATTGCCTCCAGGCGGTGTACTTTGCTTAACAGCTTTTCTCGCCCCTTATATTAAACGACTGGTGGGTGATTGTTTCCCAAACAGATTGCCCCTACGAACGGTGTCGAGAAGCGACTCGCAAAACTATTGACATTTATAAATGAGTGAAAATTAGAGCAACGTATGTTAAACACCATCATTGAATAAGGGTCACAAACCTTTACTTAGTTATGGTACTCGACCATCACATAAGGCATTTTAGAAATTGACACTTGCGTATCATGACGGAAAACCAGCTTAATGCTGACTAACTTTGTCAGTGAATGGCATCCAGTTACCAAAATAGCGTTAGAATGTCAGGTTTAATAATATAAGTACTTCGAACATTGCCTTTAATTAAGGTTATTGCAGGGGTCGATAATAAATTATGGATCTGCCAGGCAGACCACAAAGAATAACAATAGCATTAAACGTGTTTCACCAACAAAACAGGCTAAACACGGAAAGATAAACTTGTCCTTGTCTGTCTCATTGGCCAATTAACTGATTTTACTTAAGAGATCTGACCTCGAGGTTAAACTTCTTTAGGGCAATGTCATTTTCGTTTTCTTATCATTTCACACCCCGTACGGTATGTTTAACTTTGAGAGCGGTCCAATAATTATTAATATGCTCTAAGCAAAGAAGAGTTTATTGAGCGGCTCCGTGATTGGTCGGCCTCTTTACACTGAGTCAAGCTCGTTCGGCCTCTGTTTATTGCTAAATTTCCTTGCTTGTGCATTTCAATTACTTGTCGTGGTGCGTGCGCGCTGATTGGTCCGCGAGCATGGATTTAAATATCTATGGTTAATTACTTTTCTGACATATCAGAACGAGGTGTGACTTTTATTCATTGACGGCTAATTAGGAAGCTGCTTGGATCGACGGAGCAATAATTTCATTTCGGTTCGATCATCTGTTCTTGTGCTAGTTTATTAGTACCTCGCGCTGTGTGAAGGTCTGGTCGTTGTGAGCAAAAGCACATCGAGTCAACACACGCTATGCACTCAGAGGAGAAAAAACAACCCACTTCATTTTCCGTGAACCACATTCTACAAGCCGCTGAGAACACAATGTCTAGTGAAAGGCCAAGAGAGACAGAGAACGCAAATACTGATGACTCCAGCGAGTACAGCAATGTCAAGATCACCCTTGACGAGGCCGACTTATGGCGGCGCTTCAAGTCGCTGACCAACGAGATGATCGTCACCAAAAATGGAAGGTAACTAACTCATCCTGAAAGTTTTAAAAGTTATTTTGAGCCAAATTAAATAATTGTGGTGTCTCATTCTCAGGCGGATGTTTCCAGTTCTTAAAATAAACGTCACCGGTCTGGAGCCTAAGGCTATGTACTCCTTCCTGCTTGATTTCGTGTCCGTCGAGGGCCACCGTTGGAAGTACGTGAATGGAGAGTGGGTTTCTGGTGGGAAGCCAGAACCTCCGACACCAAGCTGCGTGTACATCCATCCTGATTCACCAAACTTTGGCGCACACTGGATGAAACAATCTGTGGTGTTCTCCAAAGTCAAACTGACCAACAAACAAAATGGCAATGGACAAGTAAGCGTATTTCCTTTTTGTTGTTACGTTTTATTGCGTCTACAGAAGAAATATTGTTTTGCGCCTAATCTATCTTTTAATCACGAACTAAAAGAAAACCACTTCTCTTTTTTTTATTACGGCCAGTTAACCTGGGTAAAATTTAATAATGTCCAGGTACCTCGCTGATTGTGTTTATATTGCCCACAAAGAAATTAACTCTTGAATGAAACACGTGAATTTCAATATCACTCGTTTTATTTTACTAAATTTCATTTTTTCGGTACAAAAAAAAACAAACAGTTATTGAATAACTGTGTCTTTTCGTTTTCAGATCATGCTGAATTCCTTACACAAGTATGAGCCACGAATTCACATCATCCGCGTCGGTGCTCCAGAAAGTAATCGAACAGTGGTTTCTCACTCATTTCCAGAGACGCAATTCATCGCCGTGACAGCTTATCAAAACGAAGAGGTAAGGGCGTTTTTTAATCGAAAATTAGATTTCACTGCTTGAGGCCTCTTTTCAATAGTATCCAAGGAAATTAAATGAAACTAAAGTAAATTGCTTTCTTTTCTTATCTTTGATCAGATTACCAGTCTTAAAATTAAGTACAACCCTTTCGCCAAAGCTTTCCTGGACGCGAAAGAAAGGTAGGTTTTCCTCCCTTTGCGTACACTTGGTTTGAATTTTCTTAACTGTGTATTTAAGTCTAAATATGTCTTTTTTTTATTTCTCCTTAAGGCAAGAACAGAAGGAAGCTCTGGAACAAGCAGTAGAGTCACATTCCGCATACTCGCAATGTGAGTTTGTTATTTCACAACAAATTGATTTGTTATTTTAAGAGATGTTTGTGAATTGTTCACTTGAAACTTGATCAATCGAATGGTGTGTGTTGCTCTTCGAGAGCACGTTCAAACTGTTTCGCCGATTAGAGCATCTCTTTGCAGTTTGCGCTTACGTGTGCGTATCAGCAAATCGTCGAAAATTATTAATGCTGCGCTCATGACCGCGGTTTCACGAGACGAGAAATTCTTCGAGCAGTCGAGAATTTGCGATGCTCGAATAACATCGAACAGAGGGGATAGCACTTAGTTAAATCTCGCGCTGGCGGTTCACACCTATTCTCTCGAGTCACGTATCAAATTGTTGCACGGACGCTCGACTTTCCTTTACGAAGAAGTGTGTAGATTGCTTAAAGTGTTCTTTGTTGGCATAAGATGGCGGAAAAAGTGAGAAATCAGCCTTACTTTTGTTCACACATCTTTCACGCTGTATGCGTTATCGTGCAGATATTTTCACCTCCAACGTGTTTTTTT